CACAGACACACAAAAATGCACACACAGACAGAGACACACACACAAACACAGACTGAGTCACACACACACACACAAACATATATATATATATATATATATAATATATATATATTATATATATCTAGTTTTATCAATAAAGAGTTTGATTATATATTTAAGTAATGAGATTATTACATATATATTATGTCTTCGTAACTGTCAATATCAATCATTTATTATTATTATTAATGTTTGTTGTTATTATTATTATTATGGTGGTTATTATTATTATTAAAGATATGTCTAATCTATCTATCTATCTATCTATCTATCTATCTATCTATCTATCTATCTATCTATCTATCTATCTATCTATCTATCTATCTATCTATCCGCCAGATTTTATTTGAATTAATAAATTAATTAATCAATTAATTAATTAATCAATTTAATTATTAAAAAAAATTATTCAATAATAAGTTGAATCCATGAACAACCTCTTATATACACACGCCACTGCCAAACGGAAAATGAATGAACGAACGAACGAGCGAACGAACGAATGAATAGCAAATGAATGAATGAATGAATGAGTGAGTGAATGAACTAGTTAACTAATGAACGATTAATTGAGTAAACTATATTTCTTGAACGAACGAATGAATGATGGGAGGATGAATAAAATAGATGGATTGACGAACGGACTAGTGAATGAATCAAAAAGAGAATGAACAATCATCATCAAAGGCACATATCCACGTTCATTCATTCATTCATTCATTCATTCATTCATTCATTCATTCATTCAATCAATTTCAATTAATAACTCATCCATGAATTCTTCCATTCAATAAACCACTCATTTTTCAGTTCACATAAAAAATATATTCATTCTTTCATTCATTCATTCATTCATTCATTCATTCATCCATGCACGACGCACTTATTCAATCATTCATTCATTCATTCCTTCAACCAAAAGATCCCACAAAATTTATTATTAATATTCTATATATATTTATATATATATAGAATTATATAGCTTATATATATATAAATATATATATGTATTTGTATATTTTACTAACAATATTATTATTACTATTATTATTTA